ATACATTTCTATTAATTAGTAAAAGATCTTCTTTCATTAGAAAATTAAACCTATCATAAATGAATGCTGTTATTCCTATCACCAATTACACCTTAACCACATTCTCTTTGTGCTATTTTGTTGTCTTGAAATGTCTCTCCTCCTATCAGAGGCCATATTCTTCTGAATCCTGTCCTCTTTCACCTCTTTAGTTATCACCTTTTCCTCTCATCCTCAGTCTTGTTTCCACTGCTGGACCATTCTCACCCATATAGAAATATACACTGATATCTTCTACCTTAAAAGGAAAATCTTCTCCATTAAGCCTATATTTCCCTCTACTACTCATTTCCATGTTCTGCTTCATTACTAAACTCTCAAAAATGTTTATACATACTGTCATCATTTCCTTACCTTACTCTTCTCTTTACTCTAATCTACCTTCTGCCCCTCACCACTCCACCAACGATAATATTTTAAAGAATACCAGTAATCTATAAGCTATCAAATTTAATGGACATTTCTCTGTCTATATTGTACACCATTGTCCAGGTAAAACAGTTGAATACTTCCTCTTTCTTGAAAAACCGCTTTGCCTTTAACTTGTATATAACACTCCTTGGCTTTGCCTTCTCCCTCTATAATTGCTCTTTCTCAGGCTTCTTTTTCTCTTCACAACTTCTAAGTATCAGTGTTCTCTGGGCTTAGTTCTCCATTGTCTGCTCTTCTTTTTTTATTCATTTTCCTTTCTGTCTCTCTTCCTAGAATTTCATTCATCTGCCTGTGGCATTAAATGCCACCTATATAATCCACTGCATTTCAATCTCTAGATAAATAGTTGAGATATCTGGACCCCTCTTCCCTACTCCAACTCTGTTTACCCCTTCTTAGCAATGGTTTCACTACCTACCTGTATGGCTGATCAAGTCAGAATCTAAAGTTTATGTTTGATTCCTCTTTCTCCCTCATCCTTTAACAAGTCTTGTCAATCCTCCCTCCAAAATCTGTCTTCAATATATCCATTTATCTTTATCTCCATGACTGCTACAGTAATGCATACCTCTCTTATCTCCAGCCTACACTCTTCTCTTGGCCTCCCAACTGAGCTTCCAGTTTGCCTTCTGCTAGTAGTCATCCAGCTTCTAGCCAATCTTCTTAAAAGAAAAAGAGATAAAGTTAATTCCTATTTAAATGGTTTCTCATTATGTTAGCCAGCAGGCTTTGCAAACATTTTCTGGAGTCAAATCCTGGTTTCACCCCTTTCTAGCTGTGGAATCGTAGGCAACTTGCTTAATACTACTTCTGTGGCACAATATGTGGGTGGTAAAGTTAAAGAAGATAGTTAATGTAAAGCACTTATAACTATGCCTAGCACTCAGTAAATGGTCAAAATTATTATATATTGGCCTACAAAACCCTAGGTGACCAGACTTCTAAATTCTTAGGCTAAACCCTTGAGAATGCTTTTCTTCATATCTGGGTTCTCCTTCAATTTTTCTTTATCTCAGCAATCTATTTACTTTATACTACTTATCATTTCTAATTATCTTTTTCTTTTGTTTGTTGCCTATCCTCCTAGACTATCAGCTCCACAGAGAGGGGCTATATTTAGCTTTTTCACCATTTTAACTCTAGTACCTAAAACAGTTCTTGCCACATAGCAGGAATTTATTTTATATTTGTTGATTAAATAAATAATGAATCTCACATTCTTAGCAAGACCTTTGGACATTTACTTTTTGGTTTTTCATTCTGATTCAGTTTGAATTTGAATAAAATATAGCATTTATTTATAATGCTGTAATGTGTTTTGCATGTCATGATAGAGAACCTTATCTCCTCAAAGTTTCTTATATAAAGACTAAATTAGGGAAGAGAACAAGAAAAATTTTTCTTTGGTTAAGATAAGTTTCACATATTTTAATATGCACTTTTAATGTATAGAATAACTTCTGATTTTTAAAAAAGGAAATTTTGAAAACATGATATTGTGCAATATCAACATAGTTTATACTGGTTGTTTACTTTGTATCCCACCCAAAGGATATTTGTTATTGAAGTACTTGAAAAACCTTAAAATAGTCTTACAGAATGAACACTAAGGATAGCATTATAGAAACATATTTCAATTAGAGTTAAATTATATGTTACAAGAGAAAAAGGTATTGTTCTTATTAGAGTATTATTTTAAATACTTTTATAGTTTCTAATATTTTTCTTGTCAATATACAAAGAATTGGAAAAAGTATACCTAATGATAAGTGGAGACTTTTCTTTCAGTTTACAGCCATATCAAATAATTGCTCACAATTTTCCTTTGCTTCTAAAAAACAAAACTTTTTTAAAGATAACTATAATATATAAATCTTTAAATGGAAGTCATATATATTTTTCACCTTGGTACTTTCAGTATTTATAATATGTTTTTTGCAGTTCAGTACACTGTTTTGGTTAGACCCTTCTCATAAAAATATTTTCTTTAGAACAAAAAATATTTTCAACAAAAGGAAATTATTTTAGTGTATACCTTACTATTATTGGGTTAGTCATCTTAGACTTTACTTTTGGCTCATTTGTTCCATAACCTTGGTTATATAAACAAACTTTATTAATGCTCCAGTTTTTCTACAGATAAAAATGAAGAGGTTGAAAACTTACAGTCTTTTGAAGTCTTTGAAAGTGTTGATAACAGGAATCAGATTTTCAGTCAAAATTATTGATGTGTTAGTTTAAGGAAATAAAAAGTTAAAATTTCCTAACAGCTTCTACCTTTTTAAATCATATGAATGACTTGTCATTGGTTAAATGATTAAAATACAATCTTTTTCAGATCAATTCAGTACTGTTTTATAGACTGACTTATTTTTAATGTTATTTCAAACTTTGGAAAAATATTTTTTTCTTACCAGAACTAGTAATGAAAAAGTTCAGCATTCAATGGAGGATTCTCTTAACTAGCCCTTCCTCTTCTGTTTGCCCTTCTCTCCCCTCTGTTGCAGTAAAGACTGTTATATTTAATCAAGTCTGTACAGTATTATGCTTCAGGTATGGTTTTATTCGAGTGGAATTTTTGATTTCACACATAGCAAGCATTTCACTTAAATTGGTTAGTTTTAAAAATCCTTAATAACACTAACGCCAAAAAAATTTATTAAAACAATATTATATATACATAAATAAAATTTCTAAAACCAATTAGTGTTTGTTTTTGGTATTCTTAAATGGTCCCTAATACAATGTTGACATTAGAAAACAAGGAATAGTTTTGATCCGACTCTTAGAATGTACTTTTAAACTTGGTGGGCTCAAGATGGGGAGATTAAAAAAAAAATAGACCTTATTTAGGGAAATACTAGGAATAATGGATAGTTCCCAGTATCAAAAAACAATTATTTTCTAAAGCATATGTCCCACAGAATTTGGTGATTTAGAACCATTGGACATAGTTCTTCTGGGAGTCAATAAAATATTCTTTCAATAGCCAATTTAGCCATTGGGGTGGGGGTAGGGAGGAAAATCTCAGTGTTGTCTACATATCTTTACCTTTTTGTGAAACACCTCAATTGAATACATAGAAATTACTTCCATTTATTTTACTAGTTTTTGTTAAGCTGAAAGTTCTAGTTTTTCTTTTTTATGTAAATCAATAATAGCAATTCCCGTGTTTCCAAGGAAACAGCTAACATCTATTCCAAGGTAGTCTTCCTACCATGGTTGTTTGCAGCCTTACATCTGTCAGAAGGTAAATAGTGGTGTCTTATTTTCCTGTGTACTTTTTATTTATTTAAAATTCCTTGTGAATCATAATAGATACTAAATTCTTTAAATATTTTTGTTTTACAAGAAGTAGTATGGTTTAATAGAAGATATATAGAACTTAAAGTAAGAAGAATTGGGTTTCCTCCTTGAGCAGTTCATCAACATGAGCTTGAGAAAATTGTTTTAACCTAATTCTTTTCTTGATGGTGAGTTTGAAACTAATGACATTTCCTTCCTCATTTACTTCATGGGCTTTTTTGCAAGTATTAAATTATATGTATGTAAAAGTATTTGGTAAATCGTGAACTATTCAAAATTGGTGGTGGTATTATGGACATATTAACATCTTTTTCAGCCTTTAAAAACTCAAATACAGAAAACAAGACAAATTTTATTTACTAAATGGGGTGTTATAGCTTAGTGTTTACTGTCTATATGTAATATAAATAGATATAACAATTTAATGAACCCTGGTTACCAAACATAAACTAGTTTTTGCATAGTATTTTTTTAAAAAGTAAGTTCAGTGATCTTACATTCTGTGTGGAAAAATACTTTTGGCCCATTTTTGATATGTTTTTCTTAATTTTTATTTTAAATACTTTAAAATAAAGTTGTATTTTTAAAAACAGCCAAAACAGAAGGCTTTACAAGGATTTGCAAAAATATTCATATTCGTATTTTGTCAAAGAGATATCAATACTGTACTTTGTTTTTCATATGCAACCAAGTTGGTAGCTCATCTGCACTATTAGTATTAGAGTGTTAAAGGTTAGCATAAAGTACTAATAATCACATCCTCCTATTTCTTAATTTAGGTAATAACTCTTGGATTACAGAAAAGCAGAATGTATGTTTGTGTTTGTTCTATGTATAGAACAATATCTACATCATTTGAAAATAGACCAGTATAAATGACCATGAATTTGGCACCTTTCAGATTACATTTATATTGTTTCACTATTAGGGAAAAATGTTAGGTGGTCTAGGCCCATTGAAAGAGTCAGTTTGGGGATTCTTTTTAAGATAGGTGGAAACATAATTTTTTTTGTTATGGTGACAGTTTCTTTTTCTAAATACTTACAGAATTGGATAATCCAAGTGTGTTTTTATTTATTTTTATTTATTTTTTAGTATGTTTTTATTTTGACAAATAAAATTTAGTTCTTTCTACTTTAGTTTGGGCTCTAAGTGATTTCCCTAGATGAAATTTCAGTCTTTTTTTTTTTTATATTTATATATTCACCCATTTCAATTTTTAGGAGATTTTATGAAGATGGAGCGATTGTTTTGGGTGAGGAAGCAAATATGCTTGCTGGCATGCTACTTGGGCTCAATGCTATTGATTTCAGGTACTTAATCTAAATGCGTTCGATTTCTAAATTATTCTATCTTATAATAGTTTCTTAGGATTTTTTTCTTTCAATTTTCCGAGAAAAGTATACAGTTGGATATTGATATTTGATTCATGTTTTCTTTCAAATGACATAAGTTTTCTAAATGAGTTTATTTTTTGAAAAGAGACTGTCTCAAACTTAAGGAATTAACTGACAGGCTTGCTCTCTAAATGGGTAAAAAGAAAGCTTAGACTACATTCCTCAAGCAGAAAAATCATGTACTCGAGTAGCACTGAAGGAAGGTTTTGGATCTTATCTCTCAGTATTTTTCAGCTACCGCTTTAAAATGAAAAGAAATACACTAAAAGTAGATTCAAAGCTAGAAAGATTTTCTTTATCTCATCTGTTTAGATAAAGAAGATCCTGACAAGGTATCGTGTTTCTTGTGTTATGTATATAGAATATAAAAAATATTGTTGATACTTGCTTTTATTGTCCACAAGATGAATTGATCTCAGACTAATAAATGCTAAAAAGGGACATTGTAAGTTCTTTTTTAGATTTATGAAAGCATCTTTTTGCATTTCTTTAATTGATCCAAGATTTATATTATACTAAAAATAAAAAGTTTGTCTACAACAAAAACTCAAAGCATAAGAATGAAGGAAATATTATATTTTTGTTGAAATATAGCATTTAAAATTCCAAAAATATTAGTAAACTTAAGTGAAAGTCTACTTTTAGGTCTTGAATTAAAAACTAATGCTTCACATTTTCACTGAGGTTACCTTTTTTCTAGTAAATCACTTCCTTTTCAAAATATTTGTCACTTTATAATTTTCACTATTTAGTAGTTCATAAAGTAGTGTTAGGTGAATTAGCTTAATTGTTTAGGATGAACTTGATAAATGCAATATGAAGGTTGTCTTTTTGATTCTTCTGAAGGTGTTAACTATTTATATGGTATGCTGCTTGCTCTGTCTAAATCCTTTATAATTTTTATTTTTGGTAAAAACAAACAACAAAAACAAAAACCTGAGATAAGAATGTGAACTGTTCGTTTGTTGTAACCCTTTGATACTATATAATCAGCTGGAAGCAAATGTCTTAAAGATATGGTAATGTTTCTGTAAATGAAGGAAAGCCCATATAAAATGTTGCCACTTTGATTCTCGTCTAGGAAAAAACATACATACCTTTGATATTAATATATTAGAACAGATGTTTCAATTGGCAAACTTCCCAAAGATACCAGAAAGTACAAGTTCATAGTAGAATTTTTGCCTTTGAAAGATTAACCTATATCTTTTAAATATTCCTTTATCTTTCTAGAAGATATAATTTTTCCTTTGAATAGTAGTAACCTTAAAAGTAAACACTTTTAAAAAATCTAGTTGTATATACTATTATACAAAGCAAAGATTACTGGATTAGGGGACCAGGAGATCTAGTTTCTTTACTGGCTTAATGAGACTTAACAGTATGATTTTGGGCAAGTCAGTTAACCTATCTTGTTGCCATGGCCTCAAAAAGTATTGGCTGAGCATTTTAGATTTTTAGTATTCATTTTAGGTCTAAGATGCAAGTCCTTTCACCTATTCAAAACTTTAGAAAACCCTCATTTTCTAATTATTCAGATCTTTTTAGGAGTGTAGAGTGTCACCTGAGAATTTGTGTGTAAATGCGAACAACAAATCTTCATTTGAAAAATTTCCAGTGACATCTTAAAAGGTTTAATAAAGACTAAGATAGTATGAAATAAATAAACATGTTTGGAAAGATTTCTCAGTAAATTTTACTTTTGCATAATATATTTATATAACAGTGTATCGTACAGTCCTTTGTCACTGGTATTGAAGGTAGAATATCTTAATTGAGATGTTCATTTGTGACAAGTACCATAGAAATTACAATAAAAAATCTCACCTGCAATTTGATGAAACAAATGTCTATAATGAGAGATTGTTGATAACATTTAATTTTGATTTAAGATTTTATGTATTAATATGGAATATTTGTTGTCTGTTGTCTTAGCTTCTGCCTAAAAGGAGAGGGATTGGATGGCAACTTTCCTGCTGTAATAGACTATACACCATATTTGAAGTTTACCCAAAGGTTTGTGACATTTTGAAATACGTTTTTGTAATCTTAATTTATTATTGAATGTCTTATTGTACAATGTTTTATCTGATTAAAATTACTTTTTGTAAAACATTTCACATCAGAAATTTAAAAAAATATAAACTTGCATTTTTGGTATTTATGTAAATATATACTTTTTACAAAATTGTAATCTCAACATCAGTATAGTTTTTAAAAAATAGCATGTATTTCTATTGCTATAACCATTATAGTAATAAACTTAATAGCTCTATGATAGTCCATCAAGATTTCAAAACTATAATTCATTTGTTAGACCATTTTCCATTTTATCTTCATTATTAAGAAAATAATAATGAACAATATTTGTGAAAATTAATTTTCTTTTGTTTTCTATTGTGAATTACGGAGTTATTCAGGTAAATACAATGAAAAATTTTAGGCTTTTACAGTCTATCCTCATAAAAGAGTTGTACCAATTTAGCCTACTACCAGTGTTGTGTGAGAGTTATGGATTTCCCACAATCTCATCAGCATTGGAAATGAATCAAATGAAATCTGTAGGTTTTTTTGAAGGTCTGCTTGCATTAATTAATTTCCTGAATAGAATGATGAACTTCATATACTTCTAAAATGTTACGATCAGGCCAGAGCTATAAGAGAGAGAGTAATATATTTATATATGTAATACACACATAATATCAAGATGTATTTGTGGAGTACCTAATGTTGGAAAGAAACTTTCATTGGAATTAGGGATACATAAATGTTGAGAGTACAGGAACTTCACGAACTTCTGAAAAAGAACGCAGTCTCTGTCCCAAGATAATCACCACCTAGTGTAAGAAGTCACTATTATTTAAGAGCTAGGAGTGTGAAGATATTTTAGGTGATGAGGGAGAAGGAGAAATAGAGTATTGTGTTACCAAGATTTCTAACTTAAGTAAGTGTATCCCTTAGGGAAAGGGATAATTCTAGACTGTTAGATCTAGAAAAGAAATAAAGCAAGAAGATGTTTTGAACAGGCATAAAATTATACTGTTTGGGACATGTTGGATCATAGGACATTTTGTGAAGATAATGAATAGTTCAAAAGAATACTAGTAAAAATAATAGTAATATTTGTTGAATGCTCATTCTATATCAGGCATTGTTCTAAGTGTTTTATTAACTCTTTAATCCTCAAAAGCCTGTGAGATAGCTATCCTTATTTTACAAATGAGAAAGCTGAAACACAAAGAGGTCAAGTAACTTGTCCATAGTCAAACAAGTAATTTGTGCAAAGTGGGCAACAAATCTAAAACTGAAGAGCAACATAATAGCTGGAGATAGGAGTTTGGTCATCAACATGTAGATGGAAAGACTATTTTTAGTGATTTAGGAAATGACCTAAATCAAATATATAAAGATAAATGTGAATACTAATTTTATCCCTTATTTACATGAGAGGCTGTAGTAATTATTACAAGATTTTTAAAAGATGCAATCATGGAACCTTCTTAACTGGTGCCCTGAGATTGAACATATAATGACATATATATATATATTCTGTGTCCTCAACTGATGAACCACTTTTTGTCTGAATTTTTATGCAATTTCCTCCTTTTTTAATGCGCTAATCTAAACATATATGTATAGCTTCCTCTCCTTTATATACTAAAGGATATGAAGGATATTAAAATGAGATGAGAAGTACCAATTCAACCTAGTCACAAAGCAGTTAGCATTACTGACCATGGAGTTTTTCTTTTTAGAAAAATTAAAACTATCCTAATTGTCCTAAACCAATATTTTAAAAGTGGAATTGCTTACACTCAAATATACCTATATCAGACACATTTTTTAAAACTCTATTAGGTTCCTAATTTTAAGAAACCTTGAGTCTATCCCTCCCTAAATTACTGTTTTAATATTTTTAAAAAGTAATATACATATTCATTATGGAAAAATTAGAAAATACAAGAAGATTTTTCAGAAAGCTAAAATCGTTATAATATTATATTTAATGCTAAAGTCTTTTAAATATAATTATATATTTGGTGCTAAATATTTTAGAATTTGCTCACCAGTAGCTTACAAATACAGAAATATTTCTTAAAGTGGAACATATTATTAACTTCGTTTCTTTTTAAAATTTAATCTTCTCAGTTCTGATAGTATCAGCAGTGATGAGGAAGAGCTGAGGACGTTGGGGAGCAGTGGTAGTGAAAGCAGCACTCCAGAGAATGTCGGGCCTCCTTTTATTATGGATGAGAATAGTTGGTTCAACAAGTGTAAGCGAGTTAAACAAAAGTATCAACTAACTCTGGAACAGAAGGTATTTATCAATTGTCAAAAATCATTTAATTTGGTTCTAGTTATTGCCTTCAGACTATTACTGCCAAAAGATCTAACTGAATGAAAATATTTGCCCCTTGCTCCTTCCTTTCTGTTCTTGAATTGTCTTCCTGTTAATTAAAAACCAGGCAAAGTTTTAGGAAAGGTTTTTTGTTGTTGTTGTTAATCTTTTTCTAACGTTTTAATGTGAAAATAAGCCACTTATACTTCTGTATACAGTTTCATTTATATGTTTGAGATTTTAGTTCTTATGATTAATTTCATAAAAGATCATTTGGTTTGCGAAAACTCAGTAATTGCCTAAATCAAATTCCATGTACATCTTGTTTGTTCTTTTTTAATTAGTTATTTTAACAGCTCTTCTGTGTTATGCACTGCATTAGGCAAAGAAGAGTATATAAGAAAAAGAAAAATAAACTCCATTATCTCAAGGAGTTGTAACTTCATCTTTTTTGCTACATTATCTATTTTCTTTTCTACCTTTCAAATTGTCATTATTCTTAGATGATCTATACAGGAAAGCCTGATGGAATGTGTGATAGAAATATTAGAACAAATAAACAGTGAGGAAAATGCTTACAAAGTCAGTTTACAAATATGAATAGATTTCCTGTAGACAAACAGCTACTGGTTAGAAAATATAAAGAAAAAGATCCCATTTATAATAGCTATAAAAATGTGCATGATCTGTAGGAAGAAAACTTGAATACTCTATTAAAGAAGACTTCTCGTACCAAGATGATGTCAGACTAAGATAATCTGAAAGCCTTTACATTGTAAAATCTAAAAATGCTGAGTAGAATACTGTTTTAAAAGCACTTCATGCGGAGCTGCTCTCTCAAAGAATAGGAGCTTGCTAAGGACCAGAAACCTAGAAAGACCTAAAAACAAGAGGAATAAGTCATGACTTAAAGCCACTGCAGCCCCCTGGGCTGGGGGTGAGGACCTATTCCCTTAAGCTAGATACTTGCATTTTAATACCAACAGGGGGACAGCAGATCTAGGCCCACTATCATTCAAGATGGAAACTGGACCTAGAAGGCTGGAGTGATATGCAAAATGGCAGAGTAAGCACAGAAATTGGTAAATAAACCTCGACTACATTAAATAACAACAACTATAATAATGACCAACATGGGGTAGAATTGGTGTTCTAAAATACATTGAACAACTGGCTTTCTCAGAGGAAATAGAGGAGCCCTGATTTGTAGTATTTGCTGATTCTCTGTGGGTAAATAGTCTCATCATGGCCAGTTTAAAGCTTCTGAATGCAGAAAAACATGGTAGAGTGAGAGACGTCCCCTTGAAACAACAATAAGCTGAACATCTAAAACTCAACGAAAAACACCCAAACTGCACACCAGCACATCCGAGCATAGGATCTGCTCATAAGAGCTACTGCAGGTCAGAACCCAGGTGTCCAGCAGTGGACTGGGAGAATGAAGAAGCTGCCTCTCGCAGCCACCAGAGTTCCCTGTAGGAGGAGGGGGAGAGGAGAAGGAGCAGCCTTGCCTGGGAAATCTGTGAGCTCCATGCAGCAGGCCGCAGTGCCCAGTCATCAGGGCAGAAGGTAGAGAAACGAGGATGGCAGAAAAGCGGGGACAGCAGAAAAACAACAGTTGTATTTTACCAGCCATGGTTGCAAAACCAAGGCCGAGCCACAGCATCCATCCCCCATTCCAGACTACCAAAACTGTCACTAACACTGATAGGACCTGAAATTGAGGGTAGCGAGCATGAATAAACATCTCTAAGGAAAAAAAAAGACATTTTTAACACTTCATATAAAGCAGAGATCCAAGAGACTTAGATGCCACCTACTGGAAACCAAAAGAAAAACATCTTATTTGCAACAGGCTAGAGACCATTATATAATAAATCTTCTTTCTGGAAAAAAGAAAAAAAGCAGAACACACTTCCATTAATGCCCAGGTGGAGAAATAGTCCATTAAACACCATGAACAACCAAAGTGACAAGGTATCTCAGAAAGGAAGAGAAAAGTCTTCAGAAAATAAACTTACAGACATAGAAATATGTGACTTAAGTGACAGAGAATTCTGAAAAAACACAGTGAGATCCAAAACAAATCATATCAACAATTTCAGAAATTGAAAAACAGATGAGCAGAATGAGTTTTTTAGCAAGGAGATCGAAACTCTCAAAAAGAACTGAATAGACCTGGAGATGAGGAGCACACTGCAAGAGTTGAAAAATGCAATAACAAGCTTGGGAAATAGAGTTGACCAAATGGAGGAAAGGATCAGTGATATCAAAGAAAGAAATCTAGAAATAAATCAGAAGGAAGAAGCAGAAACTGAAGAATAAAAAATAATGAAATAAAAATACAAGAACTCGCTGATACCCTCAGGAGAGGAAACATAAGAATAATGGGAATTCTCGAAGGGAAGGAAGAAGAGCGGGGACTAGAAAACATTTTCAGACAAATAGTTGATGATAATTTCTCAAATCTAAGGAATGAGCTAGAGCTCGGAATTCAAGAAGTCAACAGAACACCCAATTATCTCAACCCAAAAAGGCCTTCACCAAGACATATTGTATTAAAATTATCAAAAATCAACGACAAAGACAAAATTTTCAGGGCAGCCAGGGAAAAGAAGGCGGTAACCTATAAAGGAAAACCCATTAGATTATCATCAGATTTCTCAGCACAAACCTTACAAACCAGAAAGAAGTGGAATCAAATATTCAACTATTGAATGAAAGAAACCACTAGCCAAGAATAATGTATCTAGCTAAGTTCTCCTTTAGATATGAAGGAGAAAGAAAGACCTTCCAGACATAGAAAAATTGAGGGCATTCTCTGACACCTGCATTACAGGAAATACTAAAAGGGGTTAGCTCACCTAAAACAAAATGACAAAAAAAAAAAAAAATTAGTAGTAAGGTGGCTAGCAGGCAGATAAAAGCAGATGCGTGCAACCCTTACTAGGAACAGGGCATTATAAGCTTAAAAATAAGAAGAGATTTGCTATAGCAAGATGGTAATGAACATTCAGCATACATAGAAACAAGTTGAGACAACAATGACTGAAAAGGGGAGGATTCAAAGATCCAAATTTGCAAAGGGGAATGGAGATAAGGCATGCACAGAAGAAAAGGGACAACTATGTATATATAACTATCCTTTACATATTTGTAATGGTGACCACACACAGAAGATTTAGAACCAAAGTATATAACATAAAACAAGAAGGACCAGAGGGAAAACCCACAAAAGCCAACCAAAATAAAGAAAACAGAAACACAAGGACAAGGAAACAATGGAAACACTGAGCTACCAGAAAGCAAAAGATAAAATGGCTATAAGAAGACCTCATATTTCGATAATCACCCTCAATGTAAATGGACTGAACTCACCAAGAAAAAGTAACAGAGTTGCAGAACGGATCAAAAAACAAAACCCAATCATATGCTGCCTCCAGGAGACACATCTCATTTCCAAAGACAAATATAGACTCAAAGCGAAAGGGTGGAAAATGATATTTCAAGTAAATGGCATTCAGAGAAAAGCGGGACTAGCAGTACTAATATCAGATGGAATAGACTTCAAAATAAAAAATGTAAAGAAAGATATTGAGGAACACTTCATAATGATAAAGGGAATCATGCACCAAGAAGACGTAACACTTATTAATATCTATGCTCCCAATCGGGAAGCCCCGAAATATGTAAAGCAATTACTAACAGATCTAAAGGGAGAAACAGACCAAAACACTATTGTAGCAAGGGACCTAAATACCCCACTGTTGGATATAGTCAGATCATCCAAACAGAAAATCAATAAGGAAATAACATCCTTAAATGACACATTAGACCAACTGGACATAATCAAAATGTACAGAGCTTTCCATCCCAAAACAGCTGCTTATACATTCTTCTCTAGTGCACATGGAACATTCTCAAGGATGGACAAATGCTGGGACACAAAACTAGCCTTAAATAATATAAGAGGATTGAAATCATATGAACCATATTCTCTAATCATAATACTTTGAAGCTGGAGATCAATGATAAAAAGAAAGCAGGAAGAACCATGAATACATGGAAGTTAAACAACATACTACTGACTGGATAACAGAAAAATAAAAAGACAGATCAACAGACACATAAAAATGAATGAGAATGATAGTACAACATGTCAAAACTTTTGGTACCTTCATATCATTAGGGCCTACCTCAAAAAACAAGAATGAGCCCAAATAAACAACCTAATACTTCATCTTAAAAAACTCAAAAAAGAAGAACAAATGAAGGTCAAAATCAGCAGAAGGAAGGAAATAATAAAAATTAGAGCAGAATTATATGAAATTGAGAACAAAAAGACAATAGAAAAAATAAATGCAACACAGAGCTGGTTCTTTGAGAAGACAAATAAAATTGACAAACTACTGGCTAGACTCACTAAAGAAAAAAGAGAAAGGACAAAATTAGAAATGAAAGAGATGTTATGACATAACACTGATATATAAAGAATCATACAAGAATACTATGAAAAGTACATAACATCAAGTTTAATAACCTAGAAGAAATGGACAAGTTCTAAGAAATAGACAATCTTCCTAGACTAAATCCTGAAGACTTGTATAATCTAAATAGACCAATCAGCAGTATGGACATTGAAATAATCATCAAAAACCTACCAAAAAGTAAAAGTCCAGGACCAAATGGCTTCACCAGTGAATTCTATGAAACATTTAAAGAAGATTTAATACCTATTTTCAACTCTTCCAAAAAATCAAAGAGGAGGCAATACTTCCTAATTCATCTTATGAGGCCAATATTTCCCTGATACCAAAACCTGGTAAAGATAGCACACACAAAAAACTACAGACCAGTATCTCTCATGAACACAGATACAAAAATACTCAACAAAACATTAGCAAACTAAATTCAGCAATACATTAAAAAGACCATACACCATGATCGAATTGGATTTATTCCTTGGATGCAAGGTTGGT